CATCCTCTGCGCGTATTTAAAGGGCAGGGAGAAAATAAGGCAGGGCAGAAGTATAAAGCAAGGAAAAGTAGATGAAGCACGACTGCCGAGTTGGGCGGATCGCTGACGGGAAGACAGTGTCCGATCTTTTAATTGAGCGGATCGCGAAGTGAGAGATGGCGTTCATCTCGTACGCAATCGTTTAGTAAAGTAATATTTAAACTTGCGGGAAGATCGATGAGCAGATCGAAGTTCGGGACGCGATGGAGCGTGTGAGTATATTAATGAACATGAAGTGGAAATGCTAGGCGCGTTAGTTATGATCAAGTCAGTTAATTTCGATAGCTAGTTGCATTATCTCGCATCACTACGACTGTTCATTCACGAAGTTCCGTGAATTATTCAGAACCTACCGCCCCAAGTGTGTGAACTGATTAAAATTAAATAACCAACACGTCACTATATAATTTGGCATCTTAATACATGGCTCTTGAGTAATTTTTCACTTTCAAAAATTAATTTCTTTGCTTGTATCAACGTAAGTGCATTAGATGCAACTAAATTCGCCTTTTCTGAAAGAGGCGTCTACCTGGTTATTTACAGTGCTTGGCGCAACGGCGGAGCGAAATGGAGCCATGCGAATTAATTTCTGGTGGATGATGGAAAATGATGCTCCTGAAACAGCACAAGAGACTGGCCAAATGAACATCCAAACGAAAACCATTTGTACGAAATTTCGAGAATATTTTGTTCATATATTTGCTAGTAAATTCTCTTAACTCAAATGTAAGAACCGACCAATCGGTTTAAACATTTTGTTGTTCAGTAAACAAAACAAAGATACACTTTGCCACACGACATTTTTGAGTATGTGTTGAATCCAGTTAAGTTAACGATAACCAGATAAGTATGTCAGGCTCAAAATATGTCGGTAACTTAAAATGTTACACAATATTAATGCGGTTTTGACATTATACTATACCTTGCCGGCTCCTCCAAATTCTTTCCACTTAATTCCACTGGTCATAACTTGATTTCTACATAAACCAGTTGGTTCCATTTTTCATTGGTGCTGTGTTATGGTAACTGCATCTATGAATTCGTAATTTCATCTCGTGAAGACTTAAGAAAGGTGAGTACAGTACACTCAACACAATTCTGTAGCTGAAAATTTCATCAAACTTATAGGTATTTTATAAGTGAAGGACAGTTGCATGCATTGGCAAATGGTGTCATATCCATCGAATTGTGAAATGTAATTTTCCAGATGCAGAAAATTAATTTACAATAGAATGTAACCAATTCAAGTAAAATAATACTAAGTTTAATACTATATTCAAACATTACGTACATAATTATATGCAGTGTCCGTGTCATGCATGCTCGCCTCCCTTGCTCATGGCTTTGATTTCCAGTGGGCACTAGAATTTTTGTATTAGTTCTGTCATCAGACAATGGCCGGTAATAGAAGTCATTCAATACAAAACGACCTCTACCAAATTACGGTGATCGCACTCTGCACTTTGCAATGTCTATTATTTAGATACGTTTTAAACTGGTTCATTTCATGATCTTATTTATTTCTGCTACTAGTGATGAAATAAAATTATTTTATTTCGAAATTCTCATTGCCATGGTGTGTGTAGCAGTAGGTAAAATCTTCCCCATACACTCGTATTCACAACGATTCTAGCAGAAGAACTGCCGTTGCTGCCGGGAAAATCATGCACACACCGTGGGAGAAAGGGATTTTCTTCCAGAACAGGCAACTTTATAAAAAGGACTCATAGTTATGTCCAAAATACGTACTTTCATAAAAACCAGTTTATTACAATCTTCCACAGGTACAGAGTAACCATAAATAAGCGAGTTCAACAATGTTCCAATAGA